TATATATATATATATATACACATATACATATATACATATGTATATAACTTGGTTTTAGAGAAGACAGAGAGAGAGAGAGAGAGAGATAGGGCTATTCGAAAAATCTGACTCGAAAATATGGGGAAATTTACTGCGGAATTGGATCGAGCCGAGACCTTGTGGTAACGGATCGAGGAGCGAGGTGCGTAGGTGGTCTGGTGTTGGTAGTACGAGGGTGGTCGGTGATCATGATGATGATGGTGATGGTGGTGGTGGTGGTGGTGATGGTCATAGTATTGATCATTGTCGGTATCGTAGTATTGGTCGTGATGGTGATGGTAGTAGTAGTCGTGATCCTGCTGGGAGGGCACCTCAGCCAGCAATGGCTCTAGCTCGGGGGCGCGATCCTCGCCATTAACTACGAGTACAACCCCAGACCCACCCCCTCCCTGGCTACTCTCTCCGCTGCTGCCTAGTATATCGTACTGGTGGGACATCTTCCAGTTCACCTTTTTGTTTCTGAAATTCACACACATTTATAGCTTTAATATATTTTTAATCAATATATGGACCGTTTATTTTGAAAATGATTTAAGTTCATTTTCTTCTTGTTTTGAGAAAATTACAAGTTTGCATATTAGTTAATTTCAAAATATTTATTAATTATATCAAATTTGACAATGTTTCTATTAATTTATCGATATGTAATTTGATTATAGACTAATTTAACTAAAATAATGTAGATTTACAGGCTGCAATTGGACTTACACCACTTTCAAAATTAGTCAATTGTTCAAATCGTTTAATTTCAGTTTTGAAAAATCAAATATCACTTCAAATATATTTCATATTAATCCAATTTTGTTTACAAATAATAGCAAGAAATAAAATAGAAGCAGAATTTTTTATTTTGAACAGTAATTATATTGATAAATTCAACATTATTAGTAGTATTTATTTATGCTCTTCATGTGGCAGTGTTTTTAAATATTTATGATGCACAGGAAGTATATAGTGTAATAACTGCTTGATATTTTTATATTTATTCGTAAGTAATAAGCATAGCATCGTGATACAAATGCACCAGGCGATTTTTTCAAATTTTGACTGGTCTTTCCGGACATGTAGGTGATCAATTTTAAGTCGTAAATTCTGTGTCTTTCATCAACATTTTATATAAAATAGTATATGGTGCACTTTTTCAAAACCTTATCCAACATATTTGCAACCAATTTACCTTTTTTTTTATTATTGTTTCTTGTTATCTGTTTTTTGATTGCGTTCTATAGGTTCTTCGTTGAAACGAAATTCTCTCATTTCATTTCATGTAAAATGAATTTATTATGTTGTTTACACTGTTTTATAATATCATAATATACACCACTTTCATAATGAATGGTTACGCAATTTCTTTTACCGGCCAATTTTAAATTGGATAAAGCATTGACATTTTGTAAGAAATTAAATACTAACTAGTTATAAATAGAAAGTTTATATTAAATTAAGTATAAATCACGTGATATCTCATTTTTTTTTAATAGACTTTCAAAATAAACGGTCCAATTATTACAATCGTATATATACACACGTTCTTAGTATTATTTATATTATTTATCGGAAATTGGGTATTTCTTTTTATTTAATATTATTGCGCGATCGATAATAAGATTAAGGGGTTACATGGGTTTACACCGAGAAAAAATAGCATATATTAAAGAATTTTTTTTTTCTATATAAAAAATGGAATTCTTATTCAAATTTTTTATAGCATTTAAGTTACATATTTAAAGAACATTTTCTGAAATTTTGGTTGAAAAATATTTCAAACTCAGCCATTGCGACGTCATTTCCGGTGACCCCATCGAAAAAAGGTGTTTTCGCATTGACAGCAGAATTCATAAACGGTAAGGGTTTTTCAGTTGAAAAAATAGGGTCTTTTAGTGAATACTTAAAACTAGAAACTGTGGACGAAGGAAAAAAAAATTGAAATTTGGAGTTTTGGCAATGTTTTTAGCAAAAACATTCAAAATTTGCTACAATTTGCACCACATTTTAGTTTCCTAAAATTCGATTTTAAGAAAAAAACAAAAATCCTTCGTCCAAGTCCTTGTCAATAGTATCACGAAGACGTGTAGCAAATTTCATCAAGATCGGTTAAATAGTTTTCGAGAAATTTTGACAACCGACTTTAGAAAAAGCATTTTGAGAAAAACGCATTTAAAGATTTGAGTGCTGGTAAAAGAGCCATTAAAGAGTGGAACTTCCCAAGGCCATCTTTAGAATTACTACTCCTATCGACTTCAAAGTTAAATACAATATTCTAGATGAGTTGTAGAATTTAAAAAGATAAAAAAAAAAATAATTTTTTTGAAAGTCCCATATCCATGTAACCCCTTAAAAGGATTCTATTGTATTTAATTTCCTGCGAAATTATATGTATTCTATGTTATATATTGGTAAAACTTGAAATCCATTAATGTGCACATTGTCTAGCTAATCTGCAGATTTACTGATTTTGAAATATCTTTACGCCAAACAACAATATAAGACAATCTCTTGATACTGGGCAGGCAAGGTTTTTAGAAAATTTCACTGCAAATTTCAATGTAACACGAATAACTGTGCTTTATTATTAATTAATATGATTTTATTCGAATACGAATAAATTCGAATGAATCATCCTTGATCATTATCAACATATTTATAAGAAATCTTGATTAATTGTTCCAATTAAAAATACCCAATTTATGATAACAGAAAATAAATATTTAATTAAACATAAATAAGTATCTTAGGGAATTTGGACATTCAAAAGAACTAGAATTTCGTTTTGACTAGTTGGGCGTTTCGTCCCTTTATTAGGACTTCTTCAGCAATTTAATTACTAAAGTTCAGCGTCTTTTTTATTTAAACAGACATACATTTTTTAAATATTCAAAACCCTTTGATGGTCTAGATTGAAACAGTTTTATTGAGTGTTCAAATATAACGGATCAAGAGATAACGAAGTGTAGATGTATAGGGTTTTGAATATTAAAAAAATGTATGGCTGCTTAAATAAAAAAGACGCTGAACTTTAGGGATTAAGGTAACATCTAATATTTTATAATGTATGGGTCTCATGTGTAATTCACAATATTAAAATAACAAAAAAAAATAAAATTTGCAGTTACTGAAGAAGTCCCAATAAAGGAACGAAACGTCCAACTAATCAAAACAAAGTTCTAGTTCTTTTGAATGTTCAAATTCCTTAAGATACCTATTTATTAATAATTTTATTTTTAGAGACGAGAGAAACAACTAATTGAATAGAATTAAACAAATAGACTTTTATTATACCTGATGCTACGCTGTCGTCTTTGCTCGGCGGCTGCTAGGGCCCCTAAGGTCCCTTCCTCCTCGTCACGGAAGTCCTTGTGTTGATCATGCTTCGTTTCCGTTGTGGGACGTATCACGGGTTCGAGGCTGTTCGCTCTACTTCCGGTTGTGTGGCTATTTCCGGTGTGGTTAACCACCGCCATGTCCATCAGGCAGTTGTAGAGGGTCGATTGCTAAATTCGAATGTGCGAAAAGCACATCGTTGTGGTCAGATCAGCTGATCGATAGATTTTTCGTTTCGACGATTTATGCTTTTTTTTTTTTTTTTTTATTCTCGATGATTATTATTTCTCTTGCGTAGTTATATCAACATGACGCATACAAAATGCATTACTATGTACAGGCACATACAGGCTTTTTTATTTGTTCTTTTTGTTCTCTCTTCGTATGCTTTGCTCCCGTTCGCGTGACACATCTTCGAGATTTGTTTGGGCCGATCGATTTTGGTTTAATCGATCGAAATACAAATAGAAAATAGTTCAAGAAAATAGAAAGAGTGACAGAGAGAGAAATAGAGAGAGAGAGAGAGGTCAAATATATATATACATGTATTATATATATCATAAAAAGGAGTTAGAAATCGATAGATACATGAATAGATAGATAGATAGATAGAAGAAATATAGATAATAGAAAGAGCATTCATTGGTGAATAGTAATAATAAAACGTCGATATAGAGAAAATTGTTTTGCAAAATCTCAATAAACGAGATGCCATGCGGATATATTGTTAAATGCAAACGCGACAGTGCGTTCAGTGTAAGAAATATTAAAATAATCGAGAGATATTATCTGAGAGAAAAATAGACAGAGAAAGAGAGACAAAGAGAGAGAGAGAGAGATAGAAAGATATATAGACAGAAACGCGTGTATAAAAAAAGAAACATTAGATCGGTGTCGTAATGAAAAGAATCGGTGATCAGTTAGTTTGTTGCGTGTTAATTTGGAAAGCCTGTATATGTTTGTCATGATTTCTCACTATTAGAAATGTTAATTTTTTTTTTTTTATTCTATTAAATTATGTGCGTTTTTTTTTTTTTAGCGTTGTTACGAGTAGGTATTATTACCATTTATGCGAGACATACAGAGAGAATTACATATTCGATGAGTTTGAAATGACACTGCATAAATGCAAATTATTAATAAGCATGCAACACCAATGAGAATTGGACGAATTGTCGACAAACATTTATTTATTCCTAAAGTTCGATCAATTTTACGATTGAATTATTAATTTATTGTATCGATTAAGATAGTCGAGTTCATGGAATATAATGTATGTCGATGATTCGTCATATTAATGTTGAACATTTACACATATGTACACGTAAACACGTAACACGACGACGAGTTACCATAAAATTGTCACGAACAAACACAACACGTTGGACGTTTAAATCCGATGTTGAATTATGCAAGCTGACGAATACAATCATTACAAATCGCAAGCTGACAAGAATTGTTGTTTACAAGTATTACGGACGTGAAAAGGATTTACTAAAAGGGATATTCATACTAATTAATATACAACTGATCGTTGATCTTACGATTGGATAATTAATTAAACAACATGCGATACGAATAAATCATACCATTTGCAATGCACTCGGTGTATCGTTTAACATCTTACTCGTTTGCGTACGCTTTTAGGAAAAATTTACTTCTTTTTTTAATTGTCCAAAATAATTATCAATGATTTTTTTTGTTCAATTTAAAAGCGTACGTAAGAATAAATTAATTGGATGCTCACGATCGTGCGAGTGCCGATTAAATGTAACTAATTCTACGTTTTTTTTTATTAATACCTCGATTCAAAAATAATAATAATAATTATTAAAAAAAAAAACATTATTTATATGCCCACACGGAGATGTTTGATTATCATCATCATCATCAGATAAGCTTCTTTCATTTGCGTAGATTACAATGATGACGATTAGGAAAAAACGATTTTGGTTGTTCACAGCTTTCTTCCTTTTCATCGTTTCCAAAATCAATATAATAAGTATTTTATGTGTTAGAGTTGGTGGGTGTAGTTTTCTTTTGTTTTTTGAGATTAAGATAGAAGATAGATAGATAGATAGATAGATAGGGAAAGAAAGATAGAAAGATAGATCTAACAACTACATAACATTATCTCATTAATAATTAATTGATACTATTTTTTTATTTAATTATGTTTGTGTGGTGTGAGTGAGTAAGTAAGTTAATAGTATTCGTGTTTATTAATAATACTGTATCAAAATATTCGATTAATTATTTATAATATAAAGCAATTGGACAAATTCGAGCATTACTATGAAAACTATCTACTTTGATTACAATAATCGAAATAATCTAAACAATCTAACAAGGATTAAACTCACTACTCTACTTTCCATTTAATGTTTTAACGAAAAGAAAAAAGAGATCTATAAGAAATTAGATAGAAATATATATTTAATTATCTATCTATATATATACGTAGAAAAGAAAACGAAAAATAAAACAAAAACGAACAATTAGTTAAGCCGAACGACAGGATCTAATTTTTCTAATACTATTTCAAATATTAAGAGCTCTAAACGGGTAATTAAATGCTTCCCGATAACTATTAGCATTATTTCTAATCTATCTAAAGGACAATTAAAAATTTAATAATAATAAAAAAAAAATCAAATCAAATTCAATATCTAATATTCGATCTAAAATCGATCTCATCTATCTTTGATAAAAATAAAAAGAGATAGATAGATAGATAGATAGATAAAATTCTAATGTAACAGGCGGCAAAAATAATATTATATTAATATTTATAGGTAATTTTACTCGAGGCAAAAGGCGAGAGCTCTATTTTTTTTTTCTTTTTTTTTTTACTTTCGATGACTAATTTTTGCTCGACATTTTTTGTAATTTCTTTTTCTTTTCTTATTTTTTTTTTTTCTTCTTTTTTTGAATCTAAAAGGATTTGACGTACTAATTTTTTACTTACACACACCTATGTCATATCGTATGGGGCCAAAGGATCGATTCACGTGGACACACATATTATGCGAACTCACGTGATTTCGACACGATCACTATGAAAATGATCACGCGTTTCGATTTTATATACATCATTTATAATAATAACATATATTTAATTGTATATGGTTTTGTTTCTTTTCAATTCGTAAGTAAAATTGTTAAGTATTTTTTTGATTTAATATAGAAATTCGATGGTTCGATGTATTTGTATAAAATCGAAACAATATCACAGACTATAGTTGATTATTCTAGGTATATATAAATATATATATATATATACATTGGTACATATGTATAATATATATACATATATATGTATAGTTATTAAAAAAGTAAACGTGCTATTATAAGAAAAGGATCTCTCTGAAAGGAAATACTAAATATCTAAGTTTCTATAATAAACTAATCTTAAAGATGCTATAGTAAGGATTATCGTCTAATACAATAAGTGTGTGCCTAAGAAAGAGAAGAAAGATCGACTTGTGTGATAAGTGTATTTTGACAAAAGCACAACCGTTGTTGTATCTTTTATTTTAAAACAATGATTTAATAACAAAATATACAGAAAAGAAAAATAAATTATTATATTGAGCAATGTATAAAAATGAATATTAATTAAAAATTATATATTGAAAATTGAAAATTAAATTATTATATATAAATGGAAAAAATAAAGATTTATCTTTTCTTCCAAGAAAAAAAAAAAAATGATTTCGAGTTGAATTATTTAAACAATATCAACGACAGTTGTGCCGTTTTTTCATTGGCGTGAAATTGTGACTGTCTACTATCAAATGAAAATAAAATACAAAACGTAAATGCATACGAATTGTATGGGTTTAAACGTAAATCGTGTTTAAGTGTTTAATATTGATTTGAGTGAGATAGAAATATATATTTATATATATATATATAT